CTCCATGACCTAAAACAAGCCATATTATTGTCAAGCACCTGATATGAATTTGGAAATGAGACAATAAATGGATACAGAAAACTGGTGAAGTATTGATGCCTTGAGCTATGTTCTGAATAAAGAATATTCAATGTATCATGAACTGCCAAAGAATAAACACATCTGTCTTGGAGGGAGTACAGCAAGAGGCTAAGAGGGTAAGACTTTGCCTCATGTAATCACAAGAGAACAATTTCTGAAGCAGCACATCATAGTTGGTAATATAGAGTTTCAGTGAAGAAAAGCAGCATGGATTAACAACAGTGACTTAATAAGATATTCAAACATAGCAATGATTGTGAGAGTTGTATAGAACCAGTGTTTCCTATTTTCACTATGAAAAAGAACTGACTTTGTGGCAGCTAAGAGCTGTGGATTTCCCAACCTGACTGCAGTAACATCAACTATGGGTCAACAATATAGCTCTATGCTTGAAGATAAAAGAAAAAATGTGAGAAGGGCAGTATATCAATTTTGAATTAATTTGCTTTTCTTTGTTGTGTTTCTTATCAAAATACTTCAATCTAAAGTCTTAACAATTACATAATGTGTATGTGTGCATAGTAATTTCCATCATAGTGTTTTTGAATTAGTAGCTCTTTTATTTCAAAATGGGAGCTTCTATGAGTAAATAGTCACAGAATCTACATATCTTCCTATAGACTACAGTACAAGAACCTCTAGCCTAATACTATGCCCAAATAGAATGTAAACAGCGCTGTTAATGCAGTCGTTCATGGAGAAATCACTGCAGGGTCCTTTCTCCTCCAGGATTTTGAAACAATAGTGAATATATAGCACTGACACTCCAGCAGCTATTAAACACAGGTCCAGGAGTATAAAAAATGGACCCCGCTCTTAATGAGCCAATTGAAAAACATGTTCTTACTGTAATTGTAATCTTAGAGTATACAATGCAGACAACCTGTCCTCCATTGAAGAAAACTATGCCTGTAATTAACAAGTAATCACTTTGGATTCTTCATGCTAGTGAATGACCAGGAGAAAGCAAAAAAGCCAACATAAATCAAAACAAAGAGATACGTAATGGTCAGGCTCCAATTAAAAGAAGAATTTAAAAGTTATTTTACAGAGGAGTAACACTCAGAAACATGAGGATCTGTGTTACTTTTTAAACACCCCTGCAACAGTTTGTGTTCCATTTTTAACTTAAACTTTGGCATTTGGAATTCACTAAGGATAAAAAGTCATAGTGATCTATTTCCATAAAGATTTCAGCCAAGAGTCTCGGGTGGTGGTGTCTGGCTTGTGGGAAGCACCACTACCAGGTGGACATAGTTTTAAACGTCTCACAGGGTGGGCAAAGAGAGACAGAGCCAGCGAGCTGTCTACTTAGCAAAGACAAGACTACTGATGAAGGTTCCAGGAACAATGGAGAGAGCCTAGCTGCAGCTGTTGCTGACCGAGGACACGATATTACCACGAAGAAGGACAGAGGAGTATTAAAGATGGTCAAAAGAGTGGGGACTAGTGATGAAAACCCAATGATTAGAGATAAAGCTTCAGTCAATTACAAAGGAAAAGTGTCAAATGGAAAGAAGTCTGATTCCAGTCATGATAGGAATGAGCCAGTTTTCTTTAGTCTTAGCAAGGGCCAAGCTATGAAAGCATGGCACATTGGGGTGGCTACAATGATGAAAGGGGAGACCTGCCTCTTACCATGTAAGGCAGAGGACGCATATGGCTCAGCTGGCAGCATCCCCCAAATCTCCTGGAATGCCACTCTCCCTTTAGAAACTGAGCTCCTTGGTTTCAAAGGAGAGGATTTATTTGAAGAGAGAGGCATTATCCAGAGAATCAAACAGAAAGGAGAGGGATACTCAAACCCAAATGAAGGTGCTACA